TAGATAGATAGATAGATAGATAGATAGATAGATAGATAGATAGATAGATTTTTGTATATATACAAAAAATAAAATAGGTACTAGTTTCCTAAATATAACATTAAGAAGCAGATACTTGATAGAGAAGTACGTATCTAGTTTGACGCTCAGGCCAGAGATAGCAGAAGAAAAACACGAACCCTGGGGATGGGGGGGAAGGTTGTATGAGGTTTGTTGCATACCCTAGACTTTTGAAAGTGGAATGATGGTACATTTAATATTCTCATCCTGAAGGATATGTTTTCTGAAGTTACATCTCAATTCTGATTATGTTCATTTTCAAGGAAGCATCCAGCAGTGTGTGCGTGTGTGTGTGTGTGTGTGTGTCAAAACAGGCAAGATGGTGGTTGCAGCATTACAATCAATCCTTTTGTACCTGCATGCAGTGTAGAAGCACGTACACATTATCCTGCGACGTGGGTAATGATGCCACAACTGCCATCTTGCCTGTTTTGACTCCCTGCCCGCCTGCAGATGATACTGAAAGCATCCTTAGCATATGTTAATTATTTCTGATAAAGAAAAAACATGCCGAATGCTTGATAGTCCTTTCCCTCTAAATAACCATAGGGATCCAGCAATAGGAGCTGCCCATCACTGATAAGCTCCCTTCTCAATAACATCAGTTTTATTTAGGAAATGAATATCTCTGGATCAGCTTTTCCTAGCCTGGGGTCCTCTGAAGATATTGGGAATCCAATTTCCAGAGTTCTCAGCATTACTGGGAAACTGCCTTTCTCAGAGGAAAGCTTTGTCAGAAACATGCAAAATAATAAAAAACTAAAATACAGACTAGGAGCCTGGTAGGATATCAGTGATGCAGAAGGAAAATGTGACACTTGTGAGTGATTTTTATTTGAGAGGGGCAGGATTATGAAATATTAACATATCAAACGTTCTTGAGATGCTTTGGCCCACAATCTTAACTATCCACCATTGAGGAGAAAGTTTGTCCAAAGTAACTGTAATGTATAGTGCGTAATTTTGTCCTACTTGTCAAGGATGATATACATAAGGC